GCTGGGGGGCACGCAGGGCCGGGAGGAGCAGCTGGTGCGGCAGCTCAGGGCAGGCAGGCAAGAGTTGCAAGACATGGTGTTGGGAAAGGTGATGGGAGGGCTTGGGACAGTGGTGAGCTGCTGGCGGTAGATGTGGGTGAGGTTTGAGTCTCTCCTTCCTTCGTGGTCTTTTTATACCCGTCCTAGTGGGTGGAGACTTGGGAAATAGCATAATTCCCTTTCCTGATGCTTCCTTCAGCTAATTTTTCTTCAAAATATGCTACTTGGATTGCTTTCAAAGAGTCCCCCCTCATCCCATAAAATTATTCCATTCGGCTTGTGTCACAGCAACTCTTCCTGGGCACAAGTGGTTGGGTGAAATCAGAGTTTCATCAGATGGCATCAAAGCAGGCAGATTCATCACAGTCACAAAAGGCTCACCCCATTACTCAGAGAGAAGGATAGCCAGGGACATGAGGTGGGGTTGTTTGGGCATCCGTGATTCCTTTCCTGGGAGGTTCTGTTGTTATAACCATAGCAAAGGCATTTGGGGCAAACATCCTTCCCATAGGCCTCTCCTCTCAAATCTACCCAAACTTCGGCATCCAGAGACATCATCCTTATAGAAGAAACTCACCCTGAACTAACGGCAAGCAGGCTGATACTTGGTACCGGCTGCACCCTGGGAAATGAGCAAATAAACAATAGTTGTGTGTTGGTGCTTGGGAAATGAGAATGTGAACTGAAAGCTGGATGGATGGATGGATGGATGGATGGATGGATGGATGGATGGATGGATAGGAAGGAGGGACAGACAAATGAACAGATGAAGAGGAATTGTTCTAAATAGAGGTTTGCACAACTGTAGGCCACAGCTATGTAAAGTACGCTCTTGGAGGACAGTGGAACTTTTAAGAAATGAATCCATTGGGTAGGTTATTGACATTGAGGAAAATACACACACACACACACACACACACACACACACACATACAAACACACACACACACACACGCCTGTACTTTTCTATCCTTAAGAAGCCAAGCCATGCATTGGGTCAATAATAATCAAAATTATCAATAATTCTAATGGTTCTAATAATTCTCATTTTACAGTACTTCCAGGAACACAACGCTCCATGCTCTCCTTGACAAGAAATGTGAAGTGTAAAATAGATGGAAATAAGATGGTTGCTTCTGGGTTGCCTCTGGGGAAACTAAAGCTCAGAAGATTCACAGGTCCTATCCAAGAATGTCAAGCTCTTGACTCTTGGACTGACTCAATCATTCTGTTTGAGAGGAGACAAAGCTCTCAGTCTTGGGGGAACTGAGTCTAGGGAGCGGGACGATTCAGCGGATGGGGTTCACCCACCTGTCCTTCTGACTGGTGTGGCCTGCACCTGAGCAGCTGGAGTCTGCCAGAATTGGGGGGGGGCAGACCCAGTCCACCCCCAGCTATGAGGTGTGAGGTAGGGGTGATGGGGGAGGCAAGCAGTCTAGGGTGTGGGACCCTTCAGCTGGCAGGCAGGTCACTCACCTGTTCTTCCTTAAAAGTTTTTTTTATGTGGCCCCCTGGTTTTTAAAAGCACCCCAATACTGAGAACTGCTGTTTTTCCACACATGGTGGCAATGGACCACCAGGAGATGGTTTTGGAAAGACATTTGGAAGTGTTTTGGGAACTGTAGAACACATTTATTCACAATATTTAGATGTGATTTAAAAAACATATGATGTGAGGATCATATAAGTTTTGTTCATACCATGGCACCCCTTTCTTGTAGACGTGATCTCCACTCAAAGCATGTGCAGAGCTTTCTGTCTTGGGGGTAGTGGGGGCACTGCATTTCTTTGATGCTCAGTTTGTAAACAACAAACCTTTCTGTTTGGGTATCAGCTTGACATTTGTGACTTTATTCGAAGAACAGCTGGGAATAAGGTATACAAGTTAGATAATTAAGAGCAAACAAATGGTCCAATTACATCAATTATGATCCATTACTGCCTTTAGAGTGGCTTTACAAAAAAATTAGTTTGGAATGTACCCATGTGAGAAGCCTGTGCATAGGGGACAATTTTGAAGAATGCCATGACCTAGATGCAGACATTCCATTCTTCATACATTATGGTAGAGACTTGTGTGTAACTATTAGTGGATCCTAGTTCTAATAACCAAATGTGACTTTAAGCAAGTTTCCAAACCTCAGTGTCCCTGTCTGTAAAATGGGTTTAACCTCTAACACTGTTATAATCATTCATTGTGATAACACCTTACTATTTTGCCCACCTCTCAGTAAATACTCAATAGGTAAGGGCTATATTGGTTTCCTGTTGCTGCTGTCATGAATTGCCACAAAGTTAATGACTTAAAACAACTCAAATGTATTCCTCAGAAGTCCAAAATTGGTCTCAAATCAGAGTGCTGAAAAACAAGAAATCAGGTAGCATTTTGCACACTAACCATGAAAAATCCAAAAAGAAAGCCGCTGAGGTGATTTGGTGGTAAAGACGTTTGCTGCCGAGCCTGAAGACATGAGTTCCATCCTGGAGCTCACATGGTAAAAGAAAAGATCAAATCCCTGTAGATTGTCCTCTGAATTCTGCCTACACGCTTGGCACAGGGGCACTCTCTCACACACACATATACACAAGAGCAATTTGTTTTAGATTTCCTAAAGGATCAAAGTTCAAAACACCAAAATCAAAACTGTAAAACTAGTATAAAAAAAAAATACAGAAGGAAATCTTTGTGACTCTGCCTTTGACACCAAAAGCTCGGGCAACCAAAAGAAAAATTGAATATCGACTTCCTCCAAAACAAAACTGTGCATGAGAAACTCAGTGAGAGCTGGCTTAGCAGTGAAGGGTGCTTACTGCTCGTTCAGAGGACCCAGGTTCGATCCCCAGCACCCACACTTACAACTCTCTGCAATTCCAGTCCCAGGGAATCCAATGCCCTCTTCTGGCTCCACGGGTAGTGCACACGTGATGCACTAACATATATGCAGACAAAACACTCACACACATAAAATAAATTAAAAAATCAAAAGAACTCCATTCAGACAATAAACACGGGCTGGGGGTGGAACTTGGCGACCAAGGACTTGCCTTACATCTGTAAGGTCCTGAGCTCAGGGTCCAAGCCTCAGAAAGAGGGGTGAATAAACCAAGGAGTTCACAGTCTGGGGGGAAATATCTACCGATCCTACATCTGGTGGGAAATAAGGTCCAGAATTTGTCATGAGCTCCTACAGCCAACCAACAAGAGAAAACATCTTGAAAGTGTATGAAAGATTTCAACTGGTAATTCTACAAAGAAGATACACAGACGGCCATCGAAAGAGATGCTCCGTGTCCTTAGCCGTTGGGAACATGCAGATGGAAACCACGATGAGGCACCACTCCACACCCATTCTGATGACTATTGCTTCAGACAAACAGGAAACAGCAAGCGTTGACAAGCATGTGAGAAACTGGAACCCAGTGCATTTCTGGTGAGGATTTTAAATGGTGCAGACACTGTGGCAAAGACACAGATTGACTCGCTTGATCATGTCAGTTCACAAAACTTGTTGTGTAATGATAGCATCCTAAGGGGACCTCATGGTTTTATGAAGTCGGGGCTCGTCATTTCTGTGGCTCTTCCTTACAGTTAAAGGAAGATGGGGTCCTTTCTTTATAGATCCTGCTCTCCTCACCCTCCCCCCCCAAAAAAATTGTTTCTTTTGGTATTCAGATATTTGTTTCCAGCACCAACTCAGTTGTTCTGGTGCAAGGTCCTCCATCTTAGGGTGATAACACTTCTTGCAGGTCCAACTTTATGCCTTTTAACGAACTGTGAGTAACTAGCGGTTGGGAGCTGCCTATAGGTAGCTCTCCCTGCCACGCCACTCAGATAGGCATTCACTGGGAACTGGTCAGACTGATGTGAGAAAAGCCCAATATCCCATGAAGAGTGGATGGATCTTCTGAGCCAGCGACTAGAAGCCCAGGCTAATAATGAAGACATCCTGGGTATGACAGGGAAAGGCAGGGGATTCCTTCACAGGGGACCCCTGAGGTCATCTGGATCACAATAACCCAGAATCATAGAGCACTAGATCCAAAAAATCCTACTGAGAAAAAAAAACAAAAAGTACTTTTCCAGAGCCCCTTTGCAGTCCTAGCTCGTGCTTTCTAGTTCAGACTTGGATATGAACAGCGCTGTGAGAATCCATGTCATGAGAGAAACAGAGAAATGATGAAGGGGAGAACAGCAGCCCAGCATCGGAGCAGCGTCACCCTCCCTCCTGACAGCTGCTCTACCTCACCCATGGGTCCAGGGTGTCTGGCTAGCCATCCGCCCATCAAGAGTCAAGCGATCATAAAGCCTGGCTTTCAAGTGGCTTTTTATAGAGTCCGCAAGTGGTGAGCAGGAGGCAACAAATGAATACCAATGAGAAAGGCATCTGCTTTTGCCAGGAAAATGTTTATTGGGAGATTACAAGGGAGGGACACTGGTACTTCAGAGTCCTCTGGGAAAGCCAAGGAAGAGTCAGGCGCTTCTGAAGGAAGAGGCAGGCAGGGTATGGTCGGGCGAAGGGTGCAGTAGATGAAGGTACAGTTTCTGGGTCTGTCGTCCTCTGGCCATTCAGTTTGTGGTTTTATTCCTATTTTGTGGAATGAACTAAAAGCAGGTCAGAGCTCTGGAGCGCTAAGCCCTGTGTCCTTGCTCCTTTGCCACCCCCCTCCCAGGTTCTAGCGTACAAAGGAATTGCATGGCCCACAGCGGGGACGGGGGACACAAGGTGTGCAAGGGGCAGGGGGCGGGCAGGGGGTGCAGGGGTTGGAGACGCAGGGCCCAATGGGCTTGCCGCACGCATTGCTTGTGGCGCAGGGGTTGCAGGGTAGCCTAGAAGTGAAGAATGGAACAGGAAGGTGAGGTAAGGCAGACATCAGGGCATTCCCCAAGGACACAAGTCCTGGCCTGGTCCAGAACATCCAGCTTCCCCCCTACTGCAAAACCTTTAAATCACCAAAACTCATCCTGTTACAGAGAGCCCCAGGTTCTACACAGACACCCCAAATCTATACACTCCCGGCTGTTGCCTTTGAGTAGGATACTGCCCTTTCCAAGCTCCTACTGCCCTTACACAGAGAACTGGAGGAATCTGCTCCAGCCTACCCAAGGGCAATTGCACAACCAGCTAAGATAGCGTGTGTATTAAGAACAGCTGTGTGATTTCGATTTGCACACCAACAACTGCCGTTAGCAAGCCATTTGATGTTCCTAACAGTGTGTATTGTGAGTTCTGTCTGAGGTCACAATACACACTGTTAGGTGGGAAGGTGTGATTTGCTTTCCCAAGGTAGTCAGTCTCTGAAGGGTCCATTTGAGTCTCACTCTCCACTATGAGCTCTCCTGAAGCCCATCCATAGCTATGCACTCACTTGCAGTCCTCGCCCTCCAGCAGGCTCCTGTACGTGTTGATCTCACACTCCAGACGGGCCCGGATGTCCAGCAGCACCTGGTACTCTTGGTTCTGACGCTCCAGGTCAGCACGGATCTCCCCAAGCTGGGACTCCACGTTGGTGATCATGTATTGCACCTGGGCCAGCTGGGAGCTGTAGCGAGCCTCACTCTCAGTCAGAGTGTTCTCCAGGCTGTTTCTCTGGGGGGAGAAGGAAAAGGCTGTCACAGGGCTGTGCCCTCTAAAGGCTCCTGCATGGCCTTCCAAAGAAGTCACAAGCTTCAAGAGCTTAGCAGAGGGAGGGTCCCCAAGGACGCCCCAGGGCTCTGCCCCCAGACTCCACACTGCTCAGCACCAGGTCTGGCCAGCACCCACCATGTTGTGCTGGGCCTGCAGCTCGATCTCCAGGGCGTTGACCGTGCGTCTCAGCTCGATGATCTCTGCCTGGCAGGACTGCAGCTGCTCAGAGCTGGACACCACCTGCTTGTTCAGCTCCTCAGTCTGCAGTGGACAAAGGGAGGGACAGGATCAGACCCTGCCTCAGGGCCCGAGGGGACTCCGTTCCTGAGTGACCACGGGCTCGATGCCCACCTGTGTGGTGAACCATTCCTCCACTTCCCGGCGGTTGGTTTCCACCAGGGCCTCGTACTGACACCTGGTCTCGTTGAGCACACGGTTCAGGTCCACAGTGGGAGCAGCGTCCACCTCTATGTTGAGGCGGTCTCCAAGCTGGCAGCGCAGAGTGTTGACTTCCTACAGATGCATAAAATCAGAATTACTGTCCGCAGTGAGTCACTGAGCTGCCACAGAAGGGCAGGCTAACAGACACATTTCCCATATTGAAAAACTGTGAAAGATTCCGAATGCAAAAAAATGGCTGGACTGGTTAAGATTGTATATCAAACAATTCTTGCTACAGAAGAAGAAGAGGAAGAGGGAGAGAAGGAAGGAGGAGGAAGAGGAAGAGGAAGAAGAAGAGGAGGAGGAGGAGGAGAAAGAGAAGGAGGAGGAAGGAGAAATATCATGTCATGGCCACTCAATCCTCACCAAGACTTGGGAAGTTTAGAGACAACATCCTTCCACCATGACTTATTGACCTTAGCAGGAGAACAATCACCTCACTAATACAGCAAATCCAGAACTCTACAGCTTGGTGGATAATTGCTAGCAAACAGAGATGTCTGGGAAACAACACATGGATTTTAAACATAAGACATATCCTACCTGAGAACTAGAACAAGCTCATCCCTAGTTTTCTCTCATCGGGTCTTGGTGGCTTTGAAGGGTTTCATGAAAGCGTCCTGAGGTTCACAGTTATACCCTTAGTTCTTCTTCTCCAAAACCCAAAGCCTGAAGCTCAGCTAGTTTCTTCAGTTAGTCTCACCTCCTCATGGTTCCTCTTGAGACACAGCAGCTCCTCCTTGAGGGACTCCACCTGAGCCTCCAGGTCAGACTTGCAGAGGGTCAGCTCATCCAGGATCCGGCGTAGGCCATTAATGTCTGACTCCACCAGCTGCCGCAGGGACAGCTCTGTCTCGTACCTGAAAAGAAAAGAAAAGAAAAGAAAAGAAAAGAAAAGAAAAGAAAAGA